GGCTTTAAGACAGTCTAGGAGGATGTTTGTTGCTGTGGCTGTTACTAGAGTCAGTCTGGGCAAAGGATCTTGGTAAAAGGGCTCAAGAGTACCCCCTGAGCCCACATCTGCTCTAATATGCTTTTCAGTCCAGTGACAGGGAGCAGTGCCTCATGCTCCTGAGATGGCAATGTCCCAAGCACCTCAGGCTTGCTCCTAAGTTGGATGGTGGACCAAGTGAGATGGTCCTGATCCATTGAGCAGAGCCATGTGAAATCCAGAAGGAAAAAACACATCAGGGGCTCTTCTAAGAGACCACTTTCAGCCCAGAGAATCCCTGAGACACAATTTGCTGGAAGCAATTAGTTTTGCCTGCCAAAGTCAGGATTTCGTTTAACTGTGCCCAATAATCTTTAACACTCCTTACCAGGGAGGTCTCGCAGAGCAGCTTGCTTCCTCTCACCAGGTTGCCGATGGTTATATGGAAGTACGTGTTGCCACTGCTCCAGTTGGAGATCTTGGTGAAGGGGTGAGTGATGAGAATATCCTGGTGGGAACACAAGACTGACACTCAACACGAAAGAGCCTCAATTTTCATGAAGGGCTGTGGGTACCTCTCATCTCCTTGTTCACTTTCCATCAAAGCAGACCAAGGATGTCTACTAGGATGAGACTGTACCATGGCCTCATGGGAATGGCAGTGAGGTGCCAGCCTCTGGATCCTCCAGTGCTTGTGGAGGACTGCCATACTAGAATGACCATGTGGCTGGTGGAAGTAACTAGTAGGAGCTCATTTACTCCAGCTCCTGTCCTAATGTCTGTGAAAGGATTAAGGAGGAGTGTGTGTATCCTCCAGTTACAGGGTCCTAACAGTTGATGCTCCTAATCCATCTTCTCTTGAAAAAGGCTGGGCTGGCTCTGTGCAACAGTGAATTTCTGCCTCCAGAAACTTTTCTGGCTATCCTGCCTTTCTAATTATGTTTAATGAGAACTCCTGAAGTTCTGAACAACACGCTCTTTGGGATGACCTCTGTGAGGGGTTGGGGACTAGGCTCAGGAGCACCTGGTGAAGACCTCATTTTTGCTTACCTTGGTTTTGGGATCAATGAGGCTGACTCCATGCTTATTGATGGCAATTAGAAGGATTTCTGGATAATTTGGCTCTGTAGTTTGCTGTTGGAGATGAGATGAACTGGTTAGGGGATGTGTCATACAAAATCAGACCCCTTCCTATTTCCTCTCTCCCTTTCTTCTCCTGCCAGCATTTGCTGGCCCATTAACTGCTATCCAGTTTATCCTTTAAAGATAAACATAGAGCTCATTAAGATATCAGCAATAGTCAGGGCTGTCTAGTTAAGTACAGATCTCTTAAATGCATGATAACCAGCGCGTGAATTGCTGACAGCGTTAAGTTCCTTGTCATTGGCAAGGAAGAACTGTGACAGGCTGGCAAATCCCAGACATCTTCTTTCCCATCCAGTCCCTCTGCTCCTCCCTCATGCTTGCTGCTGTGGCCCTCCAGGCCAAGACTACACTGCTCTGTCCCCTTCCGATCTTTACATTCAGTTTTGTTCCTGCTGGTAAACCCTTCTCCAGCTCTGTGCCATTAGGACCTTCAATTTGTTCCATTAATGAAGTAGGACACAGGGGATGGGGCCTCAGCTCCTGGCCCTGCCACAGATTTCTTGGCTACCAAGTCACTTTTGGTGGAAAAATCGCAGGATATAATCAGATCTCTTATGCCACCTAAGATGGACATGACAGAAAATGGGGTGCCCAGGTTTAAGGAACTGATGAGTAATTTCAGCAACTTGTTTCCAGCCCAGGCTCACTGTGTGGTCATTGAGAAGAGGGAGTTGCAATAAGGTGTCCAGAGTACTTGGACAGACTTCATGACTACTGGCCTCTACTGTCTTTGATGGCAGCCTGGTGGGTGGCCTGGATTTGGTTCATGGTGCATGTGGACATGTCTCTTGGAAAACTGCATGTTCCCCTTTGCCTTGGTAAAACAGAGAATGGCCCTTGGCTCTTCAACAGCACAGCTACGAGTATAGACCCAATGACTGAGATATGCTGAAGCTCTACAATTCCTCTGTCTGTGTAAAGATGCAGGGCAGCAATAAATGAGCGTATCAGCCCTTTACTGATGGAGAGTCTCACACTCTGTCCCTGCTTCATCAGGGATATAGGGCTCGTGACCTTGGCTCAAATCTGCCAGAGAACCCCCAAGCAGGGCAGGTACCTTCACTTCAAAGAATGCTGATCCAAACGTAGGCCACTTGAAGATAATCTTTAGGAAGGCAAGTTTGGCTTCTTCTCTTGTTTTGCCCGCATGCTTATTGTAGTATGCCACAATGGACTGCAACAGAGAACACAACAGAGCTGGAGGGTTTGCACTGCCTGGCACCAGGGATGTTTGCAGGGAAGGAGCATCAGTCCCACAAGATGGTTGGTTCTAGTCACTGCTCCAGTGAACAACAGAAGTGCTAGCTGGTCACTGGAGCAGGGCCTGGAACCAAGGCAGGTCCTTCTTTCTCAGATGAACTGCGCTGGTGACTCCATTAAAGGGATTGTAAGTTTTAATCCTCCAATTTATGCAGCAGAGGATGCTGAGAGACCTCCAACCCAGAGAAGCTGATAGCTTGCTGGTTAGGCACATGGCTGAGTTCAAGTCCCAGGAAACAGAAAGGACTTACAAGACTATTTCTTGGCAGTGAGTCACCTATGTTATTTTATGGCTCTAGACCTGTCTGTACCTGTGCCACAGCTCTCCCTGTGTGAAGCAGGGAGAATTACCCCTCTGGTCAGTAGTCTGCCTTAAACAACAGACCTTTACATGAGACTGTTTCCTGGCATGTGTCCTTATGGTGCTGCATCCACCGCTACAGCCACAGCCACGTGCAGCACAAACAAAACCCACTGCAAAGCGTGCGTGTATGAACACGCATGTACAATTCCTCCTCTTGGTGATGTTGGGGAGGCTGCAGCTCTGCTAAGGCTCAAGAGAGACCATGGGTCACTCATTCTGGCAGCCCCACTTTATGTTGAATGTCAGACAAGTCACCCAAGAGGCTGGGCTTCCCCCAGCCAGGCCTGGCATATGACTCAAGGTGCTGGTTTTACCCTTTTCCAGTCATCAGGAGAGAGCTGCCGGATGAGGTCCTGAGGCACCAGCTCCTTCAAGAGCTTGGGGATGCTGGGGAAATAGGACTTGTCATCCTCAAACTTCACCCGGTATATGAGAGCTGCCAGCTGCAGGACCTCTTCCCGTGTGCACTTGTGGTAGCCACGCAGGTACTTTGGTAACTCCTGCACAGAGGAAAGAACAATTCAGAGATAGAGGGGGTGACCATGGACCTTCATCCTCAGATGTTAAATGGAGTTTGTGGAGATTTCCACTGCTATTGCAGGCTCCCAGAGTACCTGGTAATAGTGGAAGATTGAGTCTGCCATCGAGTCCTTTCCAGGCGTTGTGTTGGTCCACAGCTTCTTCATGAAGAACACTTGGTAGGTGAGGGAAGGCACTATACCTGTGCAAAGGAAGCAGGGATTGGATATGTAAAGGCAATGCTGCAAGCACCAGCTGGCAATCAGTGTCCCTGCAAGCCAGTGGTGCCCAAGTGCTGTCACAACCTGCAGGGACAGGGGCACTGTCAAGGCCAAATGGGCTCTGACCTCGCAAAGAAAACCACATCTTTCCCTTGCAAAGCTTTAAGAAAATGGAAAG